ACCATGCTTCCTTAAATATATTTACTTATACAATTAACTAGCAACTCAACCATGCTTCTCATATATGAAATTTATTCATATCTAATAAGGCAGTATATTTAAGCCTTTGGCAACTCATCCATGCCTACAATTCAACCATGTACTAACATTAAACGTAACTATCATTTAATCCATACGTAAACATCTTATGCATATTACACGCAAAACCTTAGTTTAATAATCAGTCAATCCAGATACTCGGAAATCATATATATATATCCCTGTATATGTTATTTAGTGTGTATCTATATATATATACCTCCTTCCATAATAATCATATATTAATTAATTCATACATTACATATAGATATATATAACAAATATACCTATATACACTTCTTTCCATCCCTAACTATTAATTTAATATATGTACGCACATTAAATACCACAGTGACACTATATGGCTCTCAAAATACCACGAACGCATACTCTAACGGTTGCTGTCAACCCCAACAGTTTAAAAACCAACTCCAATAAATCACTAGACCCCACAAAAGCTTTCCTTGTCCTCAAACACCTCTGCACGCGCCGCCCCACGCTCCCAGACTCACTGCACGCGCTTCCACGCGCCACCACAAGCTGGCGGGTATCTTCACGCTCCTCCACGCGCTGTACACGCGCCTGTTCTTCATTCTGGAGGACATGGCTGCTTCTAGTTGGCTTGAACATCGGGCTTTGGTGAGTTGCGTCACACTGGATTAATTTTGTTGTTGACTAGACTAAGTCAACGGTCCAGATACACGCCCACACAGAACTCCATGCGCCGCGATGCACCGGATCCCATATTTGTTGACCAGATTGATCCAAGGGCCTAGATCAGTGGGTACACCTTCTACCTATGCACACACCCACACTGGATAATCCGAAAATCATCAGGACCATCCTAAGGTCCTGATTTGAGGCGCACCAAAGTGCTGCGCTCCGCGACTCACTGAATCAAAACCCCCTATTTGTTGCGCCGATTTCTTTAGCATCCTCCAGTGCATATATATGAACAATATATATAAATATATATATACAGAATATATAAAATAAATTCTAAAAAAAACATAAAAGAAGTCCAGAAAAATCTAGAAAAATCCCAAAAGCTTAATTCAATTATTTTGGGCCTAATTGAACATACATAATTAAATTAAGATCTATTTAATTTAATTAATCATGCTACACAAGATTAAAGCAATCTATAAAAATTTTATAAAAAATAAAATAAAATTTAATTAACCTAACCTCACATACAAAAATTTAAATTATGAGAGTAAAGCATACCTATATTCACATGTTTAATTCTATAATTTTGTAAAGATTAAATATGCTCATATAATCCGACTAACAAATTATTCTTAATCAACAAAATAACCATATGATTTTGATACTCAAGGTGCTAGGTTTATGAATTCTGAGAGGAAAACTAGAGAAGAACTTGCCTGTCTCTTCTAAATCCGGCCTCCTCTTTCTCTGATCCAGTTTCCTCTTTGTTAACCCTTTTTATTCTTCTCTCTTTGACTCCCTTATTTTTCTAACGTGAGAAAAACTCCTAACCCTAAAGTCTTATGTGTCTATTTATATACATCAAAACCAAATCCTTTTCTCATTATGATTAACATATAAAATAAATAATATTTATCTTCTAAATAATATATATACACACATATTTTAATATAAATATGTATATTACCTTCCATACATAACCATTAGTTAAATAAATTATTTATTCCTATATATATATATATATATATATATATATATATATACTGACATATATACCCCTCCACATGATTATTAATTAATTAAATTTATATACATATAATTATATATATATATATAAAAATTTGCAAAGATAATGATTAAATATCTTCACAACCATAGACCTTTAATAGCTAACCCAACAAGGCTTCCTTCAAGCCCAATACCACATCCGTTAATCCAACTTCCCTTAAACCCAATCCAAATAATTTAAATACATAAAATAACTAAATAAATAATACACACAAGCTTAAACGCACACAAATCAAATGAACAATTCACTCATTAGTATTTCGCAAATCAAACACCATAAACAAATCACAATTTATCTACGCACTTAGTTAAATAAAACGAATCATTTAAAAAAAGTAAAATAAGAAAAAAATTAATTTTAATTAATAAATCCTTTTAAAATATTGGGGTATTACATTAATGCTCGATTTGATAGGAAGGAAGAAAGGTCGAGGGAACATAGGAAGAAGAAAAAAAAAAAAAACTTCCTTTATTTGGTAGAGAGGAGACAAGGAGAGAAGAGAAAAGAAGATAGAAGAGTTATCCTTACTCCTTCACAAATTTTCATCCCTCAAAATATGGAGGGAAGACGTGAAGAAAAAAAAGTAAGTCTATATTATAAGAGCTTTTAAATTATAAAACTTTAAGCCTATATTATAAGAGCTTTTAAATTATAAAACTTTTTTTATAATTAACAAAATTTTCATCCCTCAAACTTTTCTTATAATTAACAATCACCATAACCAAGCACAAGTTTTTGAACAATTTTCTATTTTTCAATTTTCTAAAAACATAAAACTATTCTCAAAATTACAAACCAAGCAAGTCTAAAAGTTCTCTAAAAATTCTGAAAAAATAGAGAAAGAAACAGAATCAAATAAAACTACTAAATATAGAATTTGAACGCAATGTCAACGACAAAAAAATCCGAAATATTCAACAGGCTTCCTTATGACAGGTTTTGAGGTCCTAAATGATAGTATTTTGCCGAAAAACGGCATACATCACAGCACAATGGTGGGTCTTGCTCATTGGGTCATTTCCAGTCAAGAAAGTCTCATGTTGGGTTTAAAACGGATACTTCTGGATCAGCCCAGAAAATCCGTTAATATGTCTATTTGGCCCCCTGGCAGTCCAAACAAACCGTAAAAACTTCAACAATCAGTTCTACATCACAATCTCTTCCCCAAAAATATCTCAGTCGTCTCTTCTTCACTCCCTTCTATTTAATTTATTTCCTTCCTCTTAAATGGGGCATAAAAATTGATTATTCTTCCTGGTTACCCAAAAATATATATTTGATTCTGCTCCAGATTCCATATTAGGAAAGAATTAGGGACAACAACTTGTCACAACATTTATGCATTAGCATTCATACCAATGTACGACAATTAATTGTACTTTGTGGAACAATTGATTGTATTTGCATATCATATAGTGACTTTGTGTAGCAAAGTGTACGTCCTATGCCCGTATTTGTTCTCATCAACTTTAGTGACCATTAATTTTTTCTGTGCGTACCGTACCCATTATTTTTCAATCATAAATAAATCATGCTTGTGTGTACGAATTTGTTTGTGATGAATTATTAACAATCAGCAAGATTTGGGAGACCAATTTATTTGTTGTTGACTGATTGAGCCATTTAAAGTCATTATCAAATTAAAAATCGACATTTTTTCAAACATTTGTATATATATATGTGCTTAATGATTTTGATGTTTCACTTGTTTAATGTAGATTTTAATTTGATGTCTTTATCACTGTAATCAACATTTGCTCTGCTATTTAATCCCAATTGTCTCATCTAAATAAGTCTCCAATAGTTCCCTTTTTGTACCTTTTCAAAACAATGTTTGAATGAAGATATGAAGTTGTAGCTTTCCGCAAATCTTGTTTACGTATTTTCAAATCACCATTCACCTATATGCAAGATGCCTATGTAGGTTCCCAATCACTTAAAAATCTGATATACCAATACAATAATGTGACTTATAATTGACTCCAAAATTAGCTGGTCAAAAGCATTTCCTAACAGAAGAAAGGGGAGAGAAATTATAATTTGATCTCATAAAAAAAAAATTCTTCTTATAATTAATGATTAATTACGTTAAGTAAATTATGTCTAATGCAACCAAATTAAGTTACTGAGGCCAACTAAACCACAGGTTCCACAGCTGAGGATGAACCAGTAGAACAGCTCACGAGGTCAAAGCATAGAACAGAGAGCAGACACTTTGAAGAAAACCTAATTTGCGAGAAATGATTAGATAATTTTAAACCATGTAGTCCAGTCTATTTAATTAAAAATCTCCGACTAAGAAAAGTGAACTCATATGAGTTCATAAAATAATTCAAAAAAGATATATATATATCACATCCTGCTTTTAGGATGTGTTTGGAAAGCACGTGAAATTAGTTCCATTATTGTTTTTGGCTGCAACTTGGGGCATGTTAGTAAATCTTTCCGCAGAATGTCACCATAACTAAGTGAAAAGAACGTTGATCCTAACAAACTCATTTAAAGCTATAAGTAATCCAGTTACTATGAGCTTTTATAACCACAGAGAGAGTTAATTTTCAATTTTAATTTGTATATATTTGGTCAAAATTTATATATACAGACTATACACACACCATCATTCTGCCAATCAGTTTGGCTTGTGTTGTGTGTTCATTCATTTTTGTTATCTTTTTGAGCTGCACATATAATAATCTACAATACTCTCAAGTCCAACGTACCCCATTTAATTGAAGGCTTTATTTTGGATCTTATCCTTATCATTGAGGCAATTGCGATTAATAATAGTAATAACTGATAATAAAATAAATATATATAATGCAGTATTGTCTAAATTGACAAGTGAAAGACACACAACAAACAAAGATATATTTATTTACACAGACGCGACCCAATCCTAATTAATGTGCCTCTAATTCATGTATAGACCGAGGATATTTAAATTTAATCAAATCAAGGTAGGTAGATGGAATCCCGTTTATTAAATTTCTTCCCCCACATATACAATAGTCTGTATATTCCAATATGTGTAGAACGTACACCATTTTTATTTATTTATTTATTTATTTATGAAACATATATATCTGGAATATTTCTTCTATAGGACCCTATAACTTAATGCTATATCTTTTACCTCTCAAGTGAGATTAGAGTTCAAGAACAAAGAACAAATGAATCAATTAAGTACATAAATCTTCTGCCATAACTCAATATATATATATATATATATTCCACATAGAAATTAGAAGAGAAGCAGCACCAATATCTGCATCTACGTACATATATATATATATATATATATATATATATAACATTTATACCCCTCCTTCAGTACCCAATTATTCCACAAGGCACTAGTTAAAAAAAGAAAAATCAAATACTAGAGCAGTGAGGAGGACTGCACATGGAAGCTCCTAGTTAAGGATAAACCCCATGTGAATGATATCCATAGTGCAAGGTTAATTCCCATTTAAGAGTTCCTCTATCATCTGCAGTGCCACCTTCTCCTCTTCTTCCAGCCCACCTCCCACTTTTGGCTCCGGCGACACCACCGCCGCCGGCTCCTCCTTCTTCCCGAGCTCCACCGTCATGACCCAATTGGAATCGGAACGTTCCCCGGCTCTCTTCTGCCATACTCCAATATGAGAGTTCTCAGTGTCAAGCCTTAGACAGGTAAGAGACGGAGACGGCGACTTAGAACACTTGCGAAGCTTCGCACTCAAGATTGCGGAAAGAGTTCTGGAAGAAGATGTCAACGGAGAGTTTTCATTGGCAGCTGCCTCAGTCACTGGGAAGTTTGTTTTAGCATTGGGGCCTCTAATCAGTATCGCAGCCTCGTCGTAGGCTCGAGCCGCCTCCTCCGCAGAATCAAATGTCCCCAGCCATACCCTTCTCTTCCTATAACACAACAAACAATAATATATAATTAACAAAACACAATATTCAAGCTAGCTAGCTAGTTTGTGAAGCATGTGTCATCTAGTGTGCAACACACATAGATATAATGTATGTGTGTGATAAGAACAGATTATCACAGATTTGGACTTATTCAACATATTCCAAGAATAAAAATTACTCGGTTATCATTAATAAACATAACGAAGTTACATGAAGCGATATTAAAGAACATAAATATAACTAGTGTGTACCTACAATATATATATATATATATATATATGAATGGTTTAATGGAAGAGAATATATATACAGTAATGGGTGGCGAATCTCAGAAACCCAAGAGCCCCAATGGCGTTGCCTGACACCTCTGAACTTGTTTGATTGTACCATTTTGTCAGAGAGAAGTGAAGAATAAGTTGTGGAATTGATGAGAGAAGGAATATAAAGGAGAGTGTATAGGTAGAATAAAAAGTAGGGAATTAATAGGAAGAGAGGAGTGGGGATAGCATAAGAGAGGAACATGTATGTAGTAGTAATGGTCCACTGCATTGATAATTCCTGTCGACGAGGCTTACAACTTTAGGGACTACTGACCCTTTGTGGTCCACTAGGATATCCCCCCCTAATCCCCTATGAACATGACCCACCGGCGAGGTTTTCGGGTTATACTGCCCCACCCCTAAGCCTTTCTCTCTGCCTCAGAGATATATATATATTGATTTTTATATATTATATTATATAGTTTTGTTGCAAAAGATCTTGTATGGATGTGTAGTGAAATTAACAAGAAAAATATATATACAGTTCAGTAATGGTTTTTTGAATTAATTTAAAATTAATAATTGGAATGAAAAACAAGTGTTGATTGAGCACACAGAATCACTTGGATTTGAATCTGGAAATGAATGTTCACTCATTTACATAGATTAATTAGTTAAAAATTTACTTCATTTCATGCTCTATTTACTAATATTTAATATGACCTAGCTAATAAATGGAAGCTTCAAAACCAAAAAGGAAACGGAATGGGAAAATAATTTCACTATTTTATAAAATTTTGGGTGATATTTACTGGTGATACTTGCTAGTCTCATCCTTTTTGAAAAGTTACAAGTACACTCTGACAACGAAAATAGTTTGTCACCATTCACCAAACAAGAGGCATTTATTTTACTTGAAAAATCATTATTCTTATTCTCTTTTTTTTTTTTAATCAAATTACACATGCTTAATTAATTAGGAGTTGTCACGGATTGAATCATATCGAAATAGACATCAATTCTAATCTAATTCGGTTCCAAATGATTGAAATTTTTTGAATCCACCATCAATCCGTAAAATAACAGATCGAATTCACGAATTAGAATTTTTTCTAAATAGTTCAATATTATTTTTTTTAATTTATCAATACTAATTCAAATATTTAAATAATTATTAACTAATATACATCTTAAGAGATAGTAAGAATAACTAAGAAAGAAAAAATATATACATACATTCTTAACATCTCAATCAGTCAACTAATCTAAATTTTTTATGAATTTGTCATCGATGGTGACCCAATCGGATCGGATTATTTGCCTAACCCTATGCATAACTTTGTTTTTAAACCTATCACTAGATTCACTTCATTACAAGCGTACTTATATCAAAATCAAAATCAAAATGAATCTTCCTTTAAGAAAATAAAAAGATTATTATAATATCCAACCTATTTAAAATTGTAATTGAAGTCCAATAAAATGAATTTGAGAACATATAAATTCTCAAGCCAAACCCGTACTATATAAATGAGCGATCAACTTTAAGGCACGTCTTATGAGTGTGCATTTGTGGTTGTGGCTGGCCTCCCACCCTGGTGGAGTTGGCAAATTTCTGAGTTTAAAACAAATTAAAACAACTGACTTTTTCCAATCAATCACTTTCTATTCAGCTGGTAGTCTCTCGTAACATCTCTCTCCCCCAACTTCCTAAACCCTAACTTATTAAAACCTTTTCAATTGTATAGTCTTTTATTTATTTATTTATTTTGTTTTGTTTTTGGAACCTTTCACTAAGAAGAAAAGGTATTGAGATGTCAATATATCTGTTCCGATGAATGAGAACTGTGCAAATGATGGGCAAATTTTCCTTTTTTTTTTTGGTTTTTATGAATTTCCCTTTTACTTGTTTAGTTTAGTCTAATTACACAATCACAAAGCTAAATGCGGAGAAGCAAAGAGAATAGAGTTAGTGGTAACACGATATTTTTACGAGAAAAACTTTAGTCAAAAATAATCACGAGACTTAGTCGTAAGGATGGTAATCCACCCCCATTTAAAATGACTATGGATGCTCGTTTTGGACATGAACAAAGTCATATCATTTCACCTTGTCGCGTTTATATTGTGAAAATACTATTTTATTCTTATAATTTATGTTATATACAAAAATATTCTTTAAATGACAAATATAGTGCTTGATTGTCTTAAAATTTTTTTTTTTTTAGGGTAAAGTGCAAAAAAAAATCCCTGAATTATTGACTTTTTGCAACTAACCCCCTCTGAACTAAATATTGTCTCCCTAAACTATTGATTTGTCGTAATTAAGGACAAACCCATCACAAAAGACTATTTTACCGTTTGTTATTAAATGTGTCATTTCTTATTAAATTATTTTTTATTATATTTTCTCTTATTTAAATATTAATTATATCATTTACCTTAATTTTATAATTAGTATCAATTGATTATAAAAATGAAAAAAATAAATAAATTGGTAGCTATCATTTTCTAAAATGATTAACTTATTATAATAAAACTTATTATAATCACTTTTAAAAAATTTAGTATAAAAAAATATCTTATTTTTCAAACCATATTCATGAAGAATTAATAAATTACGTAAATAAAAAATATCTTCTTTTTAATACAATATATTCATGAAAATTAAGAAATTACTTAAAACATAGTTTAGGGAGATTATTTGCAAATTTATCAAGTGTAATTCAATAAGAAAGGGTATTATAGTCATTGAATGAAAAATAGGTAAGATAATGAGGCATTTTGCAACTAAATGTGATAATTTAGGGAGTTTTATTTACAAAACATAGTTTAGGGAGATTATTTGCAAATTTAGACATAATTGAGGAGATTTTTTTTTGCACTTTACCTTTTTTTTTTTTTTTTTTTTTAATTCCAACAAACCAAAAGTTGTAAACTCTTTGAATGACCCGTACACATCATGACATCAAACAGCAGCGTGTAATCCCTTTTATTTTTGCAAAATCCAATTTTTTCCCCTTAAATTTCGAAATACCAATAAAATTTATTTCTTTATTATTGTTTCTCCTTCTTTTCCTTTCGACCCAAAATCAAATCAACATCAAATTTCAATTAGCTATTGGGAATTGGGCAAATTTAGTTCATAATATATTTTTGAACAACTAATATTTATAGTTTTGCCTTTCATTTTAACCTATTCTATTGAAATGCCTTTTCATATAATATTTTGTCTGAAGAAATGCTGATTATTATTATTATAAAGACAGACATATGGTGTTTGGTCATTGTAAGTTATGTCGCTAATGCAACAAGAGAGCTACAGCTACTAATGCAGTCCTTTTCTTTCGTAATCCCAATATGTGTGGGACAACTTAACCAGCATAGTGAAAGCTCCATTACATACACTAATACATGTATACTATTAATTTAGGACACATATATATATATATTCCTTTTCCATTAATAGATATACTTCTCAATTGTAAAACTAAGTTTGGTAGTTAGGGTTCTTAATTGGGTGGTGTTAGGTAGAGGATAAAGTCAATGCAGCAAAGCCCTAATTTTGAATTAATAGAAGCACAACATCAAGCTTACAAACACCATTGTTACATCTAATAAACATGTAAGATTTGCCTATACTCTCAGTGGTCCAAATTAAGCACATGAATAAAACACTCAAATCTGCCAGTTTTAGGCCATTATTGGGGATATGTTGTTTTTAAGAGTACCTTTTCCTTCATTAATTGTGTGATACATATATACTTGTATTTATTTGCTTTATTCATACCAACTCAACTGAAACAGTCTTTAAAATATTGAATCGGTGATTTGAATTTGAGATGGAAGAAAATTTATTCTAAAATTTTAACTAAATTTCTTACAATTTTAAATTCAACCTGTCTATTCCGATCCCAAACATAGCACAAATTTCATTGAAATACTGAACATAATGGGCAAAGTAATAACATTATATACACTAATCGTGATCACATTGCGACGTGTTGTACAAGTTGAAATTTGCACTCAACGACCTTTTTTTGTGTGAATCTATTAGAATTAGGGACTAAATACGTGTTTCAAACTTTCAAACAATAACAAAATATTCAACTAACTAAGAGTTATTAAGGATTTTACTGGAGAAATGTTGTGTTCATTAAAGTTTGTTTACCATCTTAAAAATTACTAAATAATTAATTAATGGTCTGAATTCCATTCAGTATTGTTCTTATTTAATAAAAGTTTTAACAGAACCAAAATAATTTTTTTTTAAATAATAATAATTGTGCAAGAAATTTGATAAAAAAAAAAATAGAAAGAACTTTTTTATTTTTTTCGAAAATTCAAGCAATATATTGATATAAGAAGTAATGTATAGGGATGGACTGAAGTTGGACCAACTATACCACATAGTCCAAACAACTGGAAGCCAATACAAACAGAGAGACAATCAATTGTTTGGAGTGGGCTGTCTTGCACCAACTACATAGAAAGAACACTATCATCCCCAATCTAGGAAATGCTACTCATTAACACGTCCTCCAAGGCATTGGAGGGAAATATTTGGTTTGGGCTGGTGGGGTCCATCCAGTACCTTATGGCCCAACTTAAACAGACTTATGTAGTTTTTCAGGCTAATCCACTCATGTCATTTAAGAGGGCAGCCCAACGGTATGAGCAGGACCCTCAATAAATTGGCGCAACATTCAGATAGTTTAATATTGTCTAGGCCCAACCACATAGAAAGCTTCTCTCCGTTGTTATACACAAAAATGGATACTTAAACTTTTAAAGCATCTTCCAACGGACAATGTGGTTTGGTTCCGTGTAATTATGCATATGGACATGTGTAAGAGGTATCTCCGGTCGGATTTGAATGGGAAGTGAAATAGGTATAAATAGGTGGGTATACAATCAAGGGCGAATTCAGGAATTGTCAATGAGGTGGCTAATACAGTAATAATTTTTTAAAATTTTTGGGCTAAGCTAAATTTAGGTATATATATATATATATATATATATTTGGGACTGGGGCCTGGACTTGAATCCTCCCTGGATCCGCCAGTATATACAGCACTATCCGATATCTTAAGATTTTTGGTCAACATTTGAAGTGACAATTATATATAGGCTTAAGGTGAACGACTAAACGAGCTTAACCATAACCGTCAAAAAAAAATTATTTTTTATTTTTTATTTTTATTTTTTAAATTAAA